CCCCAAAACCCCAAAACCCCAAAACCCCTCTGATCTTTGGAGTGTTGAAATTTAATTATTATATTCAATAATTCCCTCCTTCTGAGTCTTTATTTTGTCTTTCTTCTTCTGTTTATGGATTTTGTAATCAAATTGCCTCATTTTACTGATGACACCATCTTTCTCATGAAGGATGTTTTCCATATTTTTCTGACTCTGGAGCATCAATCCAACGCTTTGCCAACTACAAATGAATTTATAAGATTACCTATCTCTCTGTTTCTCAATCTTCTTAATCTTGGAAATCCGGTGTCTCCTTGAGATTTCATTATCAGTAAATCCAGTAGATGTCCTACTTAAGGTAAAATCTTTCTTTCCTTTAACTTTGACGATTTCTCTTGTAACCTTTTGCCCTCTTGTTGGTCTTGGCTCAGCTAAGACCATGTTCCTTTCACTGCTATCCCACCCCATTAAATAATCAAGCACATCATCAGAGGTAGGTAGATCATGCTTAGTAGGTTTTGAGTACTTATCATCACCAAGAGTCTCAAACAATCTTTTATTAACCCCTTCATCAAATTCTACTTTCTTCTTGTATAGCTCCATTATCTCAAACATCTGTTCTTCTTTATCCATGTAGGGAAGGGTATTTAAAGCTTGTTGTGCAATTTCAACTTGATTTCCCTTTTTAAGGCTCTTTTCAACCCTCATAATTTCCCTTCTTTTCCTCTTATCCAAGTTTACGTCTACTTCAAACTTCTCAGTATTTTCATAAACGTTCAATGATGTTCTCCTCCTATATCGAGACATGTACGGTCCTTTGACAGGAATCCCTTGCTTAATAAGTTTGTCTTCCTTCTTAAACTCCTGTAATAGCCTGTCATAATCGCCTTTATCAATATAGCCACCAATTTTGAAGTCATATACCTGTAATTAGAGCATAATGTTACCTTATTAGCTTGCTGATTGCGATCCCTGACTACCTTCCTACGGATATGATACTTTTCGAATTCACCCCATTGCTTATCAACAAGAGAGTACTGCTCGAGAATCTTTCTTTTATCTCTCCTAGTCTTGGCTTTACCGATCCTGACTAAAGCCTCCTCTATTGGGTCAACTTCCTTCTTTTCCTTCTGGTTTGCTAGAACAAGAGAGTTGTCTCCAAGTCTAAATCTGACAACTTTGTTTTGTTTGTTGAGCAACTCTTCAATAAATAGCTTGAACTGGATACCATGGTTGTTCATTAAGTCATCAGCAATGATCCTAGCAGCCTCTGTGATAATTATAGCAGCTTTAAGCTCATCCTCCCTTCTGATAAAAAGATTATATTCCTGCTTTTTAGCAAGTCTCTGGTCTTTGACTTTCAAAGCTTGTGCTTGTTTCTCTTCAAGCTCTCTTTTTCGTGCAATTTCTTCTCTCTCTTTAATTAAAGCTTCCATTGATAATTTTTCTTCAGCTTCTACGACTTCTTTAGGGATAATTTCAGGCATCCCAGCTTCCCCATATCCACTGGATATCTCTTTGTTCAAAATTTGAAGCCTGATTTCTTCAGTCCTTGCTTCTTGGATAACTAAAAATTATGGGCATAAACTACCTTGATCATAGTAGGAAGTCAGGATCATCAATATGTCATAGAAAGTAGCCGAATTATGTTTATTAAACTTCCGAATTCCCCTAAAGATTAATACATTTCTTACTTCTTTGTCCGGTTGTTTTGATTGTTCTGCAATTGATAACTACAATGTTAGCACAAAGTTACTTCTCCCAGTCCCAATTGTCTCAGAGGGAGCAGTTATTGAAATTTCTGCAAATTTTTGCTCCTCCAAGTTTTCTCAATGTCTTCATTGAATTGACCTTGTTTACAATTTCTTGGTGCTGACTGCTCATATTCTTCATATTCAGAGTTTCTGGGATATTTTGAATAGCATCCTTGTCGGAAAGTGATAAAGGACATTTAGCATGCATTAACAGTCCCAGTGGTTTAGGAGGAAATCGAAAAATAATTCCAATTGATCTTGGATCATGCATCTTTTTCCATCTTTCCAATTTTTCATAATTGTTCATATCGTCAGACATATTCGTGAACAATAGAGAGGACAGTGCTTCATATGATGCAATAAACTAAAGAATAAATACTTAAAGCTTACCTTTTTCTGAATATCAGGATTATGGTACACCCTCGCTACTGCAGTCGAATGTCTGGTCGCCATTATTTTATATCAAATAATATTTTAGGGGTTTTGGGGTTTTGGGGTTTTGGGGTTTTGGGG